ATGTGATTGTGATGCTGTAATTCTGAGTGTTTTATGTGCTGCAAAACAGGAACCTGCTGTAAAACAGCAATTATGCTGAGTCAGGCTTGATTTTTAATAATCTTTTCCTGTTAAATAAATAAAATCAAATCAAATCAGAATTCCACCTCTAAGCATGTTTAAGCTCAAAGTAGAATACTGAGCAGATCAGCTGAACTAAAATCAAATGCAACACATTTTTCAGACTTAGAAAATCTAATGTGGAACAGATGAAATAATTCAGGCTAAAACTAAACTGCGTGCAGACTTTCACTAACCCTTACCCCAGCTGTTTGGAGCTGTATCTCTGTTACAGATCTCATTGGCCAGCCGCTCAAARTACTCGGGCAGGTCGGCGTACTCGTCTCCATAAGAGATGACCTTGATGCCCTTGTCCAGCATGTTGTCTCGCAGCTTCTTGAACTCGCCCACGTCTTCCCGACGCACGAGCATGAAGTGTTCCAGGTCGGACTTGTGTTTGACTGCCTCCAGGAACAAGGCYTGGAAGGTTGTGTCGTCTACTGTGCGCCCGCAGCCGAGGAACACGAAGGACTTGGTCTCGTACAGCTTCTGGATCTCACGCTGTTGAGCACAAAAACAACGCTTAAAGAATCTTCAACCTTTATTTTGCTGTARGATTTTTAAACGTTAATAGAAAGACTAGAGACTAACTAGAGAAACTGCATTTCCACCRAAAATGCAGAGTAAATGCTGAGTGCTGACAGACTTTACTGAGGAAGCTGAGACAGTCATTTAAGCTAGCTAATAGTTAAAATAGGCTAAATGCTGACTAAAAGTGGCAAAATATCAGCTAAAAATAAATGTTTCAAAAGGCTAGAAGATAGTGGCAGTAGCAATAAGGTAGCCAAGAGCAGCAAAAACAGCAAAAAGCCAAAAACAAAGCAAAGGAATAGGTAAAAATATATAAAAGCTTAAAGTACCTGTGACATGAATTTTCTATAATAAACATGAATCCATTTTTGGAAAGACAGCAATGATGTAATATTGCAAAACAAATTTCATGCAGCTGAGATGAACAGTTGTTGAGATATTTGCATGTGATGAAACAGGAAGTGATGTCAAAGGGGAATGGCTGCATGTAAACAGAGCGTTGTTACAACAGCTAACAACACAGGCTGTAGAGAAGAATCTGATGTTTCTTTTCATTATTTTGAATCACTATTAAAGAGAGATGAAGAAGAGTTAAAGTTTAAATGACATTGTTTTAATAAACAAAGACCATACAGTTTCTTTTATTAAAGATTTCCCCTTTGATGTCACTTCCTGTTTCACTTTGAGGAAAAATTCWAAAGAAAATAGATCAGTTATGTGACAAAATGGGTAAAATCATGTGTATTATGTCAATTTTCTTAAGTACAAAAATGTTTTGACTATTTGTATTTGAAGGATAAGCATGTCACAGGCTCTTTAAGTACAAACACATACAGTAGCTAAAAGTTGCAAAAGTCTAGATAAAAGCTAAACTAGCAAAACACTAACAAAATAGCAAAAAGTTAACTAGAAGCTAAAGATATTAGCTAAATGCAAAAAGTAGCAAAAGGCTAGCCATTAAGATCAAAGGGAAAGCAGCAAAATGATAGCTAAAATCTTAAAAGTAGCATAAAACTAAGAAAAATAGAACTATGAAGCAGTAACCAAAAAGAACAATGTTGTTGAAGGAATTAAAGAGACTGTATGTACTTCTATAAAACAATTTGTAAATATAGACAGAGTTGCACATAACCGGTGCGCATGTGCGCTTGCGCTGTCAAAAAAGGAAAAAGCGCACCAGATGTATAACGTCATAAAGCTCCCATGCGTACCTAAGCTTGTACCTGATTGTCTGTCAAAACAACTGCTAGCAGGGCTCCAGGCGACCTGATTTCTTAAAAAAAAGAATCCAGCCGCACTGGTGTGAATGGATCGTTGTTGGGTGCACCACAGCTGGACCCTGATGTAAGGATTAAACGGACACTGCCTTCAACAAATCAGATGAAGTCCAGAGCCGTTTTGTCCAATCAGAGCAGAGCAGGGCGGGACTTTCAGTGAGAGCAGGTTTGGTTGAAGCAGCTGCTCGACTGGAGCTGCTGCAACGACACGATCAGTCCCTATCTCCTCCTGCACTTTGCTCCTGAACTACCAGAGACTTTGGTCTGTAAAACCTAACTTTATATTAAAT